ATATTTATGTTTGTGGTTGTAATGTGACAAAATATGGAAAAGTTCAAGGGGTATGAATACTTTTGCAAACCACTGTAGGTGCATTACTCAGAATAGACAGATCCACCTCTAACATACAGCAAATACTACAGCAACAGGCATGTCTGTTGTTCCATGTAAAGTTGGAGTAAAACATTTTGATTAAGGAAAAAAGGATGGTGAAGGGGAAAGTGGAATGGACTGGAAAAGGTGTAAAAATGTAGGTAATTTCGACATATTTAGGATATTCACAAATCCAATAATAGAGATGTCCATCTGTTCACAAGCTGAGTGACATTATCTAACATGGGATTATAATTATTAGGAACTATTCTACCAATGGTAGAATAAATCTCAATACCAAAGTAAGAAAAACCCTTTGGTATGACAAAAGGTGGTGAGAACAGGAGTTGTTTTTGTCTCATTTTTATTCATAAGCATTGCTAAAGATTTAGAATCATTAATTTTCTAACCTGCAAAAACACCAAAAGACCTTATCAGATTAAGCAGAATGGGTAAAGTAATTTTGAAATTAGAGCAGAACAAAATTGCATCATCGGCATACAGTGCTTCTTGATGTTCTAAGTTTCCAATTTTTATGCCTTTCAGGTTCTTACAAACTGACTAAGCCAGTGGCTCATTAGTAAGGGTCAACATTAGTGGAGACAAGGGACACCTTGCCTTTTTCCTCGATGTAACTGTGGAGGCTTTAACCATTCCATTGGTTAAAGTTACAGCCTGTGGATCTGCATAAAGGAGGCAGCTCAGGATTTTTTTCTTTTATACAAAATCTTAAAGCACATCAAATAAATATTGCCATTCTGCTCAGTCAAAAGCCTTTTTTACTGACAAAATGGCAGTGTCACAACAACCAGCTTTCCTCAAAGATTACTCTAAGTACTCTGAATATTATGGAAGCTTCGTCTTCCCTGGACAAAGCCGTTCTGGTCAGAGTGCATCATCTGTGGAAGATATTTTTCCAGTCGTCTTGACAATGACAATTTACAGAGAATTTTGAGGTCATTGTTCAGGAGATAGGCCTGTAAGATCAATCCACATACTATGTTCAATGGTTTCCCTGGTTTTAACAGGAGTGTGGTTGCTGCCATATTAAGAGAAGGGTGGAGGGAGCCAACATGTAGTGATTCACAAAACATTTCAAGTAGAGAAAGCATTAGTTTATTTCAATAGGGATGGGATCTTGTCAGGTCCAGGAGATTTTCCTCTTCCATGTTGATAGTAGCTGTAGGAAGTTCCTCAGCATCTACTGTAGGTCACACTCCAGAGATAATCAGGGCATTCTCCTTTAAGGATGCAAATATAAATATTCCTTCTGTTTTGGCACTGCTGCATCTGAGTAATCTGTGTGATATAAAGTTTAGTTTAAAGTCCTGTGGGTCACTAGTCCCCGAACTGTCATCAGTTTGTTCTGTCAATTTCAAACTGTTCAATAGACCAGGTTAAGATTCTACTGGCTTTTTCATTTTGCTCATAAAATTGATTTAGTTTCAGCAGACTTTGGTAGCTTTGTTTAATGACAAAACATTACTAAATAGTCTGCTTCAGTGATCTTTATCCTTTTTTCGAGTTCTCCCAGCTCCGATCTTTAAAATTTGAATTCAAAACTTGTGAAGCTAATCTAGCCTCTTAGGTAAGTTTTAAAAGGTGTCCCTTCATATAGCAGCAGACGTCTCATTAGTATTACTTTGAAAGTAGTAGTCAATTTGATTACCAACATATTGTATAAATTCTGGGTCTTTGAGCCAACTGAAGATATCCAGGAGGACTGACGGAGACTTTAGAAAAGCTCAATCAGAATAAAACTGACCTGAAATCATTAAACTATTATAGGAGCAATGTGAAACTTTAGGTACTGTATTTTAGTGCCGAAAACAAATAATAGTCAATTCTAGAGCACATCCAACATGTACTTGACTATAGGAAAAAGTTATAGCAGCAGGGTATTTCTTTTTTAAGTTAAACTCTTAACATAATTATTTTTGTTGCATCATTCATGGTTGAAACGTGTTTTTATCAATGACATCTCAGTCACCCTCTTCTTTTACTCCAGCATTTGAGGGTGGAAAAAAACTCTTAACTTTATTTTGATAGTTTTACATGTGAGTTTTGCTATGAAAATTATGTTGCACTACCAGCATGTTTTTTTAACAAATGTTGTTTAGTTCTGATACTGAAGTATTGATAACTTTTGAGTATTTGAATGGATGGAGGGTTACAAAGTTAGATTTCAAAGTTTACACATTTGATTACTTTTAAGGTTACTTTAAGCCACAAGTGCAAATAAAAACTATATTAAAAACTAAAAGTAAACCAGTAGTTACAAATATAGTTTAATTATGTCAATTATACAGTAAATATAATATCACAGCTCAGTTTGACACATTTTACAACATAAATTAGTGCTTTACAAGTTGTCAGAAACTCATTAACATAACTCATCAACTCAATAACTCATTAACACCTAAATTTACTTCACATCACAGGTGGTTTGTTACACAAAACTACCATTAATAAAATAATACTCAGAGTAATTAATCTGTCAAAGTTCAACCAAAGTTCTGTAATCAGAACCAAGCAGTACCAGCAGCTACCAGTAGGTGGCAGTGTAACACAAACCAGAACAAAGATTATATGATGCAAATTTGCAAACTTTTCTGATTATTAAGAACATTTCTAACTAAATTAAAGATTTGGAAATTAAACCCAAATGTGCGGCTAACCACTGACCCAAGTTAACCAGTGATTGTAGATAACCAGTGACTGCAATTAACCAGTGACCATAGTTAACCAGTGACCGCAGACTAAAGGACCCCAACAGTGGTATTTTTGCATTGTAAGGCCTGGCTCGGCCTGATTCTAACTTGGCCTTGGTGGTGTTGTAGCAGAGCACCGTCTCAATGTAGATGCAAATCATCGTATCAAAAATGTCAAATCTTTCAGTGATGTCACTGTATTTGCAACACAGCAATGGACGACTCAGAGCTCCAGGTACTTCTCTTTGTTCTTTGTGTAATTCAAGACCAGCTGGAACAGAGAAAGACAACATCAAATCAGCCCCTGCAGACTGACCTGAACAGGTCTCTGGGTTTCTAGTATCAGGCTGGAAGTGGGCCATAACAACACATGCAAATATACAGAGCTCAGGTTTGAAGCTAAGCCGGGCCGGGCCGGGCTTTACAATGCAAAAATACCACAAGTGGGTCCAACCAGGACTGTGCAGTCATATTCTGCTGGTCGGCTGCAGAATTCATGTTGACGTGTTTGTTTTACCAAACAAAAATAATTAAATAATTTAATAAAGAATTTTTCATGAGACAAAAGATTTAATCCTAATTACAACATATAATTTAAATGTTTATAACTTTAAGGCCTGGCAGATTTGTTGCTTGGTTTCACATTTTGTAGTTCAGATTGTTGCTTTTGACACAATGTTTCTGTACAGTTTTACTTGCACTGCACACAGAGTTTTGTTTTTTCCTGTATTGATGGTGGATTTAATCCAGGCTCTAAACAATAACAGACATATATCCAGTGCACTGTGGAGAGAAGATGGTGCTCAGCCCAGCTGCAGTGTAACACCATGGATCTGGTTACAGAAGCTGCTCACGGGAGTTTGTAGTTTCAGGCACGATGTCATCACTGCAGCCGCACGATGTCATCACTGCAGCCGCACGTCTTCTCTGCTGACTCTACATCTGCTCGTCTGGAGGAGGAATAATCTCAACTTTGTAGCTCACCTTCTTGGACTGGAGGTAGCTGTAGCTGTTGTCAAAACACAGAACATCTGCAGAGAGCAGAAGACACAGACAGCTACAGTCTCACAAATATCTTTACAGTTGCACAACAGTCATGACAACGTTAGCTGCGCTGTGACACATATTAAACTTCTGAATTAAACATCTGTATCTGTTTAACTGTGAGAGTATAAACCCACAGAAACAGACTAATGTCACTGATGGTGCTTTGTTCATGACAGCACACATACAGTATATTTAAATGTTTGGAGACATTTCATCATGGAGCTATCTAAGCAGTCTCCAGAACTCATTGGTGTAAATAATCTGTGGAGGGGAAAGATTATGTAAAGAGGAGTGGGATGAATCCCCACTGAGATGTGACCAAAGCTAGTGACCGACTATAAGAAACATCTCACTGCTGTGCTGCCAACAAACACTTGTCCAACAAGAACCTCTCACCGACATGTAAGTCTAATTTTATTTCCATGAAATGTGTTTTTGAGGAGTTGTAGTTAACGGGATCCATGATTAGTTGTAACATTAGACTTTATTTGATAAACATATATTTTAACTGTAAAATAAAGACTGTAAAAATACTGTAGGATGTTCAGTTTTTATCATTTTTAAACTAAAAGTTTAAAAATATTTTACACAGACGGGGCCATTTTATTTACACGCAAAGCATTCTGGGTAAATGATGATGTGGATAGGTCCTTGGTGCGAGGCTGCTAGCGAGCTATATCCACCCTGAAGGTTAATCTTGGACAATATCTGATGATCGACTCTTTTAAATGAAACCAGAGAGCATTGACAGAGAGGAGAAGGTAGAAATGACTCAGCCTGGAACTGAAAATAAGGATGGAGGACAACAGAGCTGCTTCATGGAAGAAGAACCTCAGCTTAGCCTGTTAGCTTTAGCGTTAGCCCCGATGCTATCACCATATATATGTATTAGCTCAGCGCTACACATTCTCCTCTCATCACTGAGGTCCTCCATCCACATGACAGAGAGGGGAACGCAAAAATGACTCAGTCTGTAACTGAAAATATGGATGGAGGACCTCAGTTTAGCTTGTTTATCATGCTAGTGCCGAGCTAATACATATAAGGCAATATAGCGTCGGCGTTAGCGCAAAGGCTAACAGGCTAAGCTGAGGTTCTTCTTCCATGAAGCAGCTCTGTTGTCCTCCATCTATATTTTCAGTTACAGGCTGAGTCATTTCTACCTTCTCCTCTCTGTCAACGCTCTCTGGTTTCATTTAAAAGAGTCGATCATCAGATATTGTCCAAGATTAACCTTCAGGTTGGATATAGCTCACTAGCAGCCTCGCACAGAGGACCTATCCACGTCATCATTTACCCAGAATGCTTTGTGTGTAAATAAAATGGCTCCATCCGTGTTAAAATATATTTTTAAAAATTTACAAAACTAAAATCCTACAGTATTTTTACAGTCTTTATTTTACAGTTAAAATAAATGTTTATCAAATAAAGTCTAATGTTACAACTAATCAGGGATCCCTTTAATAATCTGTCTCTACGTTCAAATAAAACCAGACTGTTTATGTCTTTGGAAGTGGGTAAACTTACGAATTTAGCAGAGAATAAATTAAGATTTCTTCCTCTGTACATGAAAGTTTGATCAAATATATGACCCATCACATCATACTGAGGATTAAGTCCCAAATTTGTGTGTGAAGAAATAAGATTTACAATTGTATTTTATGAAATTTTACTAAATAAAAATACCTGATCTACATGTCGTTTAAATAAACTGTCTGAAATATATTCATAAACATGTTTAAGCCCTTTTTGAACACTAGCTATAAAAACATGATCTTGAGCAGAAAAGACTTAAATTGTTGTCATTTTCCCTGAGAGCTGTGTTTTTTTTCACAGCTGATATATGTTAATTTCAGAATATAGTTTGAAATTTCTTCTTTAAAATGACCTTAAAAATTCATCATTTGAACAACCTAAAAATAGGGTTCAGACCAAACATCAATGAGTTATTCTGATTAGGAAGACACATCAAGGCATATCTCTGGAAACACTCATAGTAATATGTGACTCATCACATCAAAATAAGGATTAAGTCTAAAAGGTGGTATTTGGTGAAATAGTCAATAGAGTTTTGATTAAAACATTTGCAAAAATTGCATTTTGTCAAAACATCATTATTAAATGCCTTATCAATGTATCAAGTGAATGAACTGCCTGAAATACAATTGTAAAACTAAATTTTGAAGCACTTTTTTGAGCAGTAGCAACAAAAAAATAGATTTTGTGCAAAACTGGCTTAAAATTTTGAGAATTTCCCTGTGAGTTAGAAATGTTTTTGTTCCTCTGGGAAATCTCAATATTCAAATACTATCTGAAGTTTCCTCTTAATAATCACATCAAAAATTCCTCATTAAAAATACATAAATTAGGATTCAGACCAAATCTTATTGTATTATTTTAACCAGCAAGACAAATTAAGTCATTTATCTGGACACAGTTATGTTAACAGATTGATCAGGGTATTAAAATGTAGCTTTTGATGCAGGAATCTGAAAATGTAATTAGGTCATTTTGATCAAATTTGACTTAATCCTCATTTCCATGTGATGGATCACCTATCAGGATGATCCAAGAATCAAAATGGAAATTCAAAAGCAGGAATCTGGAATTGTGCCAAGGTCATTCTGATTAAATTTAAGTTAATCCCTGACGTCCTGTGAGGCACTGATACTCACAGACTCCTGGCTCAGAGCAGGTGAGGCACGAGTCCTCAGGAACCATGTGAGCATTGTAACGCTCACTGGGCAGAACCTGCACCATGTCAGCCACCTTCTGACCGCTGGCCTCCTTGTTTCGCCTGTAAACTCCAAAGCCGATGTCCGCTCCATCGCTGGCAAACTGCCACCTGACAGGAAACCAGAACCATCTTTCAAAATGACTCCCAGCTGTAGTCAGAATTTAAACCCTCTCATTATACATTGAAAGAAATGATTCTGTGGCTATGTACATTTTAATAATACATTGTGTAAAATATATTCAATATAATTGTGTTTTTGATTTTGAGGCAACAATTTAATTAAATTTAAATTAAAAATGTTTGGAGTAAAATCCAGTCATTGTAGTTAAATAAAACAGAAAAATGTTTATGTACTTCTAAATAAAAAGAATATTGAGTGACTTCAAATTAATGTAATCAGGTGATTTTTATTTGAATAGCACTTCCTGTCAAAGTGTACTTTTTCTTTCCTTTTTGAAAAATGTGAACTACTAGCCACAAGACATTTGAGGAGAGATGACAAAAAGTTTCTTCCACTGATCATATATCAAAACGTAACTGGTTCTCCCGTTGCTTCGACCAGTTGCATCAAGTATTGAGTTTGAGCGTTTAAACGTTATTTTTTTTTTTAAAAAGGGAGCTCCGATTGTAAAGTAAAATAAATCAATACATACAAAATTTTAGTATGGATTATAAATGTTTACTGTTTTTGCTGGGAAAGGGAGTTCTAAACTTTGATTTCCTACCACTTAAGCAGACACAAAGCATTGTGGGAAATGTCTGTAAAATGTGGATCCCTGCTGGCTACTGAATATTGTCTTTTGCAGTGTTTATTATTATAATTTAACAGAAGCCATATGAGTCATTTAGATTGCTGCCAGCAAAAATACTGAAGCGTGACCCAAAGCGACAGGAAGGACGTATACCTTCCCAAATATAGTTTATCTGGGAGGGGTGCTGTTGGATAGATCGCATGCATTGTGAGTCCTGACAGTCATACCTTCCGCAATTCAAGATGATGATGACTGGTAGATAATTAGTTATTAGCGAAACTGCAATTTAAATTTAAAAAGCGAAAATCAGCTCATGAATTATAAAAATTAGTAAGACCGTTAAAGCACAAACAAAATGTTTAGGTCCACAATTAGCAGATTTGCGCTTTAGTGGGCTGGTGCCCACCACTGCTATTTACACACTGAGAAGTTTGTTTTTAATCCCACTCAATATTTTTGTGTAGGTTTTAAATAATTATGAACTGTTTTCTATTCAAATCTATTTATATTACATGAATAACTATTAAGAGTTGCATTTAATTAATATTTACTCAATTCCAAACATTGTAAAACTTAATTAATAATATTGCTTGTAATCTGTTGCCTCATTTTTATTGAGTAGATGGTGTGTTTTTTTCTCACAGTGTGGACATGAACATCAAACCAGTGTTCAGGGTGGAATGATGGAACGTAAAACTTTTTTGTGTTTATTTATCAGATTTGATCAAATCCTCAGGACACAATTATACACACAGGCTGAAATCTAAACCAGAATCATCACTAATGTTTAGTTATTTTATTTATTTATTTATTTTTGACCAAATTGCGACTGTTAATCAAAGGTATATAAAATGAATTTAAAACAGCTTGAACTTCAGGCCACAGGTTTACACAAAAAAAAAAACAGATGTAGTGGATTTACTTGTAAAATGATTTAAAATAAATGTCACCTTTACTCAGTTCAGTTGAGTGGAACCAGTTGACATAAATGTTTTTAATTAAACCCATTACATCTGTTTTTAGAGTGTACGTGGAAATGTGACTTTTATCTTGTTGTGTGTGTAACTCTGCCATGTTTCAGAAGCTGCAGCTGTACCTCAGGAGGCTGCTGGGAGCAGTGATGTCATACTCCAGCTGGAAGCTAGAGCCGCGGCCGACGGTTACGCTGCTGTCATACTCCACCTTCAGACTGTCCTGCACGTAGTACGACCGAGGAACCACACCTCCATAATTTATCTATAAATGAACACATGTTGGATGAATTATTTATCGAGATGCTTCACACAGGAAACAAGGAACCAGCAGCAGATTGCAGTTCAGAGCTCTTTACTTGCAGGTAAGGAGTGCAGACACAGAACAGTTCTCATATCATGTCAGCACATTGAACTAACATCTCATTGGTCACAGGGGTGTCAAACTCATTTTCACTGACGGCCACATCAGCATTATGGTGGCCCTCAGTTGTAACTGGCGTTTTTATCTTTGACTAAACACAAAACATCACGTTCCTCATCTCACTGCTATGACTGAGAACTGTTAACAGACAATAGCTGAGCTCTACGTGGTATTTTATGCCTAGAAACAGCGTTTTAACTCGTCCTTTTATAAAATACTGAAAAGTTCTACATGTACTGTACTACTGGCTAAATGTGAAATAAAGAATACAGAAATACCAATGAAAGTAAAAGTAAGAGTTGAGTTGTGGTAAGTCTTGAATGACTTTACCTAACTATGTTTGAATTTGAATTGGATTGAATTGAATTCTGAACTTCCCCCACTTTCCAACAGGGACTTCCCATGCATTATGGGAGTTGTAGTTTATGGTCCATGCTGGCTTTGAAGCAGCTTATTTTGAGACATTGGCTAATCAACTAAACTGCTCAGGGGTCGAAAGTGACTTAAAGCCAAAAGCTCAGGGGCAGGACAAGTATTATTGTCTTTCACCTTTTAAATTCATTTTGTTGCACTGAATCCTAAATTTAAAGTTTACAATTGATAGAAAATCTATTTTTATATTTAAAAACATAATAATGTAAATTGATTTTTTTTAAATAAAGGGGGAGGGGGCTCAGTGGTGTGTCCCACAAAATCACCTGCAAGCCTTCAGTTTGACAAGTATTCTAAGACTTGTATATAAACTGCTAAACTAACAATGAGCCACAGGCATGAGGCTGATGTTAACAAGAAGACTAGAAGTTTCACCAGGGTGATTAGATTAGCAGGTACTGCACATTATATTTCAACATTACAGATTAACTATCAAACATTACATCACCCCATTATGACTGTTAGAGAGAATAAAATCAATATGATGTCAGTGATTTTTCTAACATAACACTAATGATTTCAGTCAGAACCTTTCAGACAAGCAGCACATGTTTTATGCTCTTTTCTCACCATGGTTCTGCAGCAAGGGTCTCCATCCGGGTCAGTCAGGTTTCCTCCATAGAACACAGGGAGCTGGTCTGGGTCAATGTATTTGTGTAGAACCTCCACCCAGTCACCTGAAAACAAGCATTCTTCACGCAGGTACTGCTGTGTTCAGACCTTCACAGCCACTCAGCACAGCCTAAAGGTTTTACAGCATAAAACCTGATGACTCTTCAAAACAAGTTTTAAATTATTCTTCATTTTCTCTGATCCACACAGGATGAAAAATACAAGCTTAAATAAATACATTTATTCACCTGAAGCTTTAAGAAGTTTCCTGAGCTTCCTGACTGACTGATAGTTTCTCTTTGCCAACATAAATATTCGGCCAGCTCAGTTCTGAATTGAGAGGAAACTGATGAGGATGGTCAGGAACAAACATGAAACATCTAAACTCAACCCCATCACAGGGGCGGAGCCAGGGGGCTGGCACCTGATTGGCCACCCCAGCTGCCACCCCCTCAATGACTGACTGTTTGGAAATCTTGGGTTTTTGCAAGTAGATTTTGTTACTGGTATTACTGTAAAAGTATACAAATTTTTAGCTATGTATGTACAAAAATGTTTGAATTATAGCACTTCGTAAAATTTGCATTAATCATTAGCTTAATTTGGGACTAGCATCAGCGATCAGCATGTGATTCTTAGTTACACCACAACAAATACATTCTCAATAAGTCTTAAAATGGCTAAATTATAGTCTTTTAAAGTGAGCTGTGGTGGTCGACTTAAATTTTGATAAACATTTAGAAATTGGTAAAGATGGTTTCCAGCTAATTTTGCACTAAAAATGGCTGAATAACAAGACGTGACTTGCATTCATCATGTTTTTTGGTCCTTCTTAGCTATGGCCACACAACATTTCAGCCCAATCTTTCTTCAAACAGCTTTGGAATTAGCCATAGTGACCATATTGAGTTTTCAAATCATCAGTGTTTTTCTTTACTTGTTTGTGCCCCCTCAAAAAACACCTTGGTCACCCCTTGCAAAAAAGTCTAGCTCCGCCCATGCCCTACCATTACCTGGATAAATAATAAAGCTTCAGAACTGAGCTCTGATTGGATCAGTACAGAAAACTGAAATCCTTAGAGGTCCAGCAGAAAACTTGTTGATGGGTATAAAAAGTTTGTAGCTTGAGGAATATTTGACTAAACATCATCAGGTAATACTATACAGTTTGTATAAAACTGAACTTCTATATTTAGAGAAAATTTTAAATAAATTCAAACTTGTGCAGCCAACTCATTATGATTAAAGTTGTATGTATAGTTCAATCATCTAATCAGCCTGGAAAAAAAAACCCTGTCTAAATTAATTATTAGAAACTGAAATTTCTAAAACATTCATACTCATGATGGATGTAAATAAATAAATTGACTGTTTTTATGTTATTTTTTTTTAATTTCACAATGTTTTCAGAATCAGAATCAGTTTTATTGCCATTATCAATGAACATGATTCACAGTCGAGGAATTTGCTTCGGTGTAAAGGTTTTGTTTGTCATGTTACAGTTTTACAGTAAAAGGATGAAACAATGTAGACATTTAGCTGATCTACATTAATTTTATCAGACTAGATTTTGATTTGGTACCAAGAAAAACCTTTCTTTCCTTCTAAAACTGCTTCTTCATTCTAGTTTTCTTCGACTGCAAAAAAACGGATTTTAATTTGACAGCTGAGTTGAAGTCCTGTAAAGAACTCTCACTGACTTTATAAGTCAACTTTTCAATAATTATAATAATGAGAAGTTGTCCCCACCTTGTTTAGTGGCAGGACCAGGACTATTTAGCATGGAATAAAATAATAAATCATGATGAGGGAAGGAAAAACTCTTACTGCCTAAAACCTGGATCTTGCGTCTTGTTTCTTCACACATGAAGCGTTTGATGAGGTTGTAGGCCACAGGAAACAGTTTGGGTGCTACAAAAAAATAATAAAACCAATCTTCAGCCTGAAAAAATGAGCAATAAAAAAACAAACAAACCATCAAACAAACAAAGCTGAGGTACCTTTGATGAGTAACACCCTCTTCAGGCCCTCAGGATAGTTGTCTTCAAACATGGTGAGAACCTGCAGAACACAGATGATTTTACACACAGTGAGGTCTCGTTGACGACAAGCTGTTTCTCTGGCACTCTAGTTTAAAATTCTGATGAGGTTTTGGTTCGGATAGACCACAGCAGAGGGGAGCTGCTCGAACAAAGAAGAACCAGGTGGGAGTCTTTCCTGCAGGTCTCAGAGTCCTGGAGGGGTACAGGTTCTGATGACCTGCTGCTGGTGGATGCACAGTACCAGATGGTAACAGTGACATTCAAGATTTTTTTTCTGATCACACTCTTTCCTCTAAGACAATGTTGCCCCACTGTCCTAGTAGTTTTTATTAATGTGTTGGACAGTTTTTAATCTGATTTTAGTCATTTCATCAATCTCCTTAGAGGTTTTCTCTGCTTGATGTCTGCTTGAGTTTGAGTATGAGTCCAGGACGAACCTCTCCGTAGGTCTCAATGGCAGGTTTCCAGAGGTGTTTCAGTCCAAGTCCATCGCAGTCATAGATCAGAGTGATGGACTCAATGTTCTTCCCCAACTGAGACACAGAGAGGAGATGAGAGGAGATGAGGCAGATAGGAAACAAGGAGAGATAAAGGATGAATAAAAAAAGACGGGGAGGAAGTGAAGGATAAAAGCCAAGAAAACGAGAGGAGAAACACAAAAAGAAGAGATATGGCTGATATGGAGAGCAGAGAAACAAGCAGCAAAGAGAAGATTAACGAAGGAGACAAGAGAACAGGAAATAAGGAAAGGAGGGACACATCAATGGACCTTCTCAGACTGCCTCTGACACTCCTGGCGCAGCATCTCACAGTGTCGGATCTTGGACCTCAGGAAGTCCTGCTTGGTGGCTGACATCATCAGGCCTTTAGGATCCAGAGGACCAATCACATCGTACCAGATGGGACTGCCCTCGCGGTCGTAGCCACAAAGTCCTCCTGATACAAACTTCTCTATCACCTGATGGCCAACACAGACAAACAGGTGCGATATCTGACACGAGCTACAACAATATTAATAATAATATGTGTAACTAAAAGTAAAGTAAAGTAAACTAAACACTGAACTGTATATGTATGCATGCATGCACGCACACACGTACGTATGCAGGCACGCATGTACGTATGCACGCATGTATGAACGTATGCATGTATGTATGTACAGTATGTATGCATACATGTGTGTATGCATGCATGCATGTATGTATTATGTATGTGTGTATGCATGCATGCATGTATGTATTATGTATGTGTGTATGCATGCATGCATGTATGTATTATGTATG